CTAAGAATAATAGAAGACACTACATGTTAAACATCTGTTAGAGAAGAAGTTTTCTTTGCAGGTGGTGGTGTTTGAAAAAAGTTTTCCTCTTGATTTTACCAGAGTCACGTGTTCAATCGACAAGGCATGAGCCTAACATATAGAGCTTACGAATATCAATTATGTAAATTCAATTTGCAATGTTACAAATCAGGATTTTAAACTAGGAGATTATTTGACCTTTTAAAACACCACTTTTCGAATTCTAGGATTACCTCATTATCATTCATAGAATTTTTGTACTGTCGGTAAACGTTTGACAATAAACGGTCAAGTGTACATGCTGTAAGTGTTTTTGTAACATGAGACGCCTTCAGGAATGGATCTGCAGTACCATGAGTACCGAGTGATGTAAGCTGGGCATTAACTTAAACACTAGTCCATCCACTATCTTCAAGCCAACCACCTGGGGCTTTCAACGCAGCCATTTTTATGTGTAGGCCACCGAACATCATGACAAAGTTTCCCCAACATACATCCAAGGCATCATAACTAACGCTGTACAAAGGTTTGGGCTTTTACCATAAACACATGATAAAGTGATCCATCATATCAGTATATAGGACTTAGCCTCTTGACTATTGTCGGCCATTCTGAATTTGGCGGTCATGATGTTTTTTTTTAGATGGCTCCATATCCAAAAATGTTTATTAGCATCTAAACTAACGCTGTGCAAAGTTTCATGCTTTTACCATAACGTGATCAGTCATATTGATATATACATTTGTAGGACTCAGCTTTTTACTATTGGCGGCCATTTTGGATTTGGTAGCCATTATAGAATTTTTTTAGAAGGCTCTATATCCAGAAATGTTTATGAGCATCAACAATAACCCTGTGCAAAGTTTCATGCTTTTACCATATGATAAAGTGATCGATCATATCAACATATAGAACTAAGCCTCTTTTCTATTGGCGGCCATTTTGAATTTGGCGGCCAAGATGGAATTTTTTTAGATGGCTCCATATTCAAAAATATCTATAAGCATAAAAACTAACGCTGTGCAAAGTTTCATGCTTTCACCGCAAAGTGATCAATTGTGACTATATATTGGACTTAGCCGCTGGACTATAACACATTATTTTCATTTATTGCATATACATTTCAGGGTAGTTATGTTTGATTGCTAGTAATAACTCTTTGTAAGTATATAACCGTAATATATCTGTAATGTTGCGTTAACATATGTATACTGGTTTTCAAAGGATTGAAGTTGCGTGTATTTTAAATTATATAAAAATTGCAGCAAGTGTGGTTAAAAGGTGTTCCATAGACACAAGGCCTCTTTTATTTGTTGAAAAGTTTCTTTTCAGCTAATCTTTTCGTATGCAATATAGTGTGCCACTTGTTATCCCTTGTAATATGCATAATGAAATTAATAACGCTCAATGTTGATATTTCTTTCGTTAAACCGGCGTTCCATAGAAAACAAATTCGGACGTAGTTTTGCTTTGTATTTATAAATAGTTTTATAATTTTTAATGGTGTGATTGTAACAGTCTAAAAAATTTTCTTTTTTCAACTGTAATGTGAACTAAATGTATCTAAAATTAAGAAACAACGAAATAAGAATCTATGCTCATATTTTCCAGCCATAGCAGACGAAAAAACAAAACTTTTTTAGAAACAACTACTAGAGATCTTTTTGATCCTATACCTTCAGAAGATAGAAAAATTATATATATATATCATAGATACTTACCAAATTCCTAATTATTACATCTTATATCATAAAATTGAAGGCTTTCCAAAGAGTTGATTTTGGTAGACTTTTGGTATGTTTTATTTATGGCGTTTCCCTAAAGGACGGCGAAAAGAAAAATTCTGTTGCATTTTTTTTTTATAGGTCAAATGCTATTTTGACTAGACTATGAGTGGATAATAACATAGTCAAAGATCTGATAGATTGCATACAAGTTAAGTGCCAGGTGCCTAATCGCATGATATAACCTATCAATTTATTTTATATAGATAACACAACGGGTGTCTTATGCAATCTGATTAAGATACAGAATTTGTGTCCAAGCTTCTTTTCTTACAAGGATCTGATAATACTCCGTTTTACTCCTGTTCTCTAAATTATTGCATCAGCCAATGGAATTTTAGTCTTTATATTTTTGAAGGTGTGTATTTATCCGACAAAAACCAGAGAAAAAAAAGCGTTTTCAGATCTTTGTAAGCAAAGCTTGTACATAGTTATATTCTAATCAGATTATGTCAGATGTGGAGCATGATCTGCCTACCCTCCGGACCACTTGAGGCCACTAATGTTAACACTTTAAATGTTTTTGCTTTGTCTTTAGTTTATATTTTACGTTTTGTGGACTTGTGTTTGTAATTTTGTTTTTTTTGTTGTTGTTGCAAATGCATTTTCAAATTGTATTTTTATTAGTTGAATATACCTTTGGTATCTTCCGCCCCTCTGTTTCTACTATGCTTATGTTCGGTTTTCATTATTAAGTTAATTTCTCAGGAACTACTTCCAATAGCTATAGGTTGATGATATTTGCTACACAAAAATCCATCCATGTCTATAAACTATATGAAATATTTCAACTGGTACTGTTAAAAGAATTTAAAGAAACACATACAAACAGGAAAGTAAAACAAACAAGATAAAATTGAGAATGGAAATGGGGAATATGTCAAAGAGACAACAACACGACCAAAGAGCAGACAACAGCCCAAGGCCACCAATAGGTCTTCAACGCAGCGAGAAAATCCCGCACCCGGAGGTGGTCCTCAGCTGGCCCCTAAATAAAATTGTGTACTAGTTCAGTGAAAATTGAAGTCACACTAAACTCCAAAACATATAAATGAACTAAAATTAAAAAAACATACAAGACTAACAAAGGCCAGAGGCTCCTGACTTGGGACAGGCGCAAAATGCGGCGGGGTTAAACATGTTTTGTGCGATCTCACCCCCCCTCCATTTATACCTCTAGCCAATGTAGAATAAAGAAACACATAGTAATACGCACAGTGAAACTTAGTTTAAAAGAAGTCCGAGTCCGATGTCAGAATAGGTAACAAAAGAAACCAAGTAAAATAACAATTATGATACATAAATGAACAAAGGACTACTAGCAGTTACTGACATGCCAGCTCCAGACTTCAATTATACTGATTGAAAGATTATGTCTTCATCATACCCGTTAGGGGTTTAGTATCATCCCATCATAAAATATATGAGAAGAACATAACCCGTATCATGCCAACAACTGGTTTTAGAATAAATGTGTTTATTTCCGATGCAAAGACCCTATGAGTGAATCAATATTAATACCAAAATATGCAATCCTTAATGACTTGACAACAGTATCGTAACTATATCCTTTCCGAATAAGTCTGTTTAAATACCTGAACGTATACGATGTCTGCATGTTGATTTATATTTACGAATGATGTCCTTGTACCGATGATAAAATTTAGTAAATGTTTTGACTAGTTTGTGATATCGAAAACCCTGGTGTAATAATTTTTCAGTAATACAGAAATTGCTTTCGTTGAAATCAAATACGTTATTACATACACGAGCGAATCGAACAAGTTGAGATATATAAACACCATAAGATGGTGACAAGGGAACAATACAGAAACAGGTCCGCAATAAGTGGTGCACAATTAGTCCCCATGGGAATTCCGATAACCTGACGACAACACATACTAGTAATATAAGTTTGCTATGTTCCATTCAGGACCGCAATGTGACAATAGACTCCGCCTAATGGTTCATAACAGAACAAACCGGAACAACATCTTTTAAATTGCCGGCTATCAAACGTAGAAGAAATAAAAGAAACACCTTGGCTGTCCGTCTTTCAGTCCATCTGTCTACCGAATAACAAGCTTCAAAAACCGTGTGGTTGATTTTGATGAATTTTACAGAGAGAGTTTTTGACGTCAAATTCGAAAACGATTTATCCATGACTGTATGGAATAGTTTTACTGCTACTGTAATATGGAATATGTATTATCATTAAAGAGGCATTAGCTACGAGATATATATAAAAAAAAAAGAAATATGAGTTGTTTGGTTCGATCATTAATGAAAGTGGAATAATGAAATAATAATTCGCTTTTAGCAGTAAATTTGTTTCTATTTTGTTAAAATAGGCTAAGAATCATCGCTGATGAAATATTAACTTGCAAATGAATAATTCGACCTCATTTAATCCGTATTCATGTGAACTTAGCTGGAGATGGGTGAATACATGGTTAACCCATCTCCAGATAAGGATTTGCTGGAGATGGGTGAATACATGATTAACCCATCTCCAGCAAATCCTTAGCTGGAGACGGGTTAATCATGTATTCAGCTGTTAAAAGGAAAAGAATGTCAACATTGAAAGTGAAACAAGGATGAATCATTTGGTTGACTGATTTGATACACATCATTCTTATACAGGTAAAAACGATGATAAACATACTTTTTAATATTTAATATGAAATCAAACAGACATAGAAAAATCAAATTGCACGTGGTCGCTATCTATTTATATTTATATTTAAATCGGGTTATATGACAATCGGCATTCTTAGGAGGTCATCTCGATGGTTAATAGGTTGGCGTCTAGACAAAAATACACACGAAATGCGGATATCTGTTATCGAGTCCATGCATTGTTAATTGTTTATGTATGACTCTTTGATATACGTTTAGTATGTTATAAATCAAATATGGGAATTTGAGTCAAATCGGTGAACATGAATTTGACAGCTTATGTCCCTTACAAAATGTCTTATTGCACATATTGATAAACATGTAATAAACTTTTTTTTTATTTTATTTTCGACCTTAGCCTCATGGAATATCATAAAATTAAGTAAGTCTGAGACAAATCAATTAGAAATCAAAGGGAGATGCACAAGCTTTATCACTGAAAATACACTTTCAAATCTTTAAGTTGTTGAATACTTTTTAAAACAAGAAGCACCATACATTATTGGGAATATCACAACGACTATCAATGCAACAGTATTCAAAGAAGGGTTACATTTTTTTAAAGATACAATGTTAGACTTAAAACATAGGGAATCATGGTACATGTATATAAAAATCATGAAGGTAGTGCAATTCAAGTAAAAGGACTTTTAATTTGAAAACAAATACAAATTTTGGTTCAAATTCTTTACGATGTTCTTATGCTCGTTGTTCTTCGTTCCGTTTCGCAACGTTCCAATGTCTTTGTTATTTACTCAATATACATTATGAACATATGCTGTTTATTCAAGAACTCAAATTTCTTGCGATATCAGCCTTTTCTGAACGCATAAACGTTTGTTATCCGCATGTGGATAAAGCTCGTGAACTCTTTTTTTTTATATTTTTAAAGATTGTTTCATCCTTATTCCAGGTATTCACTGGAAATGAGCATGTACTAGTCTTTGAAAACTTTTATCAATCCATTCGATTTCAACGAATTCACAACACAAGTTTATGTAACCGACCATAAGCAACTGCAGCGTCGGTTTACATGTACAATACGAACAAAATATTCCATATGATTGTAAATTTCTAAATTTGTAAGTAAGTAAGTTAACAATTAAATTAGTACCATTACTGTTACAAAATAATAAGGTGCGTACATTTATTGAATAAGATATCTTTGTTCACAAGGAGGTAATAATAGAAAGTCTTTTTAATGGTCTAATCAAGAAAGGATATGGATATAATAATTTCACAGTTTCAGTGAAAGCTATTTGGGCTGATACATTATCTCCCATTAACTGTAAAGCAGTGCCAAGACAGTAGTAAGATAATGCTTTAGGGCATTTATCCTTTCCCATAAAATAGTCTTCGGCTATTGTCAATTGAAGATCTCGGAGGGAATTTCGATATGCTCGCACATTGTTCATGTGGTAATGACACAGGAAAGACAAAAAATGTGCATATACTACAGGCGGTATTTCATAACCACTTTCTTCTATTAGCAGTTCCATAGGAATAAATGCGGAAGTTGCAAAAATGACATTATCTAACAGCACAAATTTTAACGAGCGCACCACTCCTTGCTTATATATCAAGTTCCACTTGACAAGAAGACGTTGCGTGATTGACAATTCTGTTCCACGGATTAGTTTGTCAAGTGTACACTTTGATAATGCGTACAAAATCAGTATGCCACATTCTTTATATTGTTTTTCCTTGTAGAAAAACGACGCAAGCATAAACCATCCAGATACAGTATCATGGTTGATGCTCATTAGTAGATAACTCAGACACGTTTTGTGTTGTATATATTGATTCTTATTTCTGATTGTACTTCTCAGATATATCGACTGGCATTTTAAGTTGCACACCATTGACATGAAATAGTCATGAATGAATTTTAATTTCTTAGAGTTACATGAAATAATTTTATGTACAACTCTACTGAAGTTATAGTGTTTATCTGTCAAAGACGTAACGCGTACAAATGTACTTGACTTTAACAGTTTGTTAAGATCATCATAATACAAAAAACTTTGATCATTTTGGACGTTGTTTGACAAAATCGGAACATGTGATATTTGTTTAGAGAATAAAATACATCGCCATCCATACCTAAATAACACACGAAGTGTATCAATTAAATTAACCCTATCCAGTCCGCCAATCTTATTCTCAAACAAATTGTTTTCTGGAATGAAATAATGCGGACAAACTTGATACTGCACACAATAAATCAGCCGACTGAAACATCTCATAAAACACGGTATCAAATTGTCAGGTGTCCATACAGAGGGTTGTACTTCTTCTGATATCCATAAAATTATTGTCTTTAGGTAATAAGAACACAATAAATCTTTACATTTACTATTAGTATTTATTACATCCTTTAAAAGAATTTTCATCAGCGCGTAACAAAGTAACTGTGTATGACTAAACGTATAAATAAGAAGTTTTTCTCCAACTGAAAATGAAATTCGCCATTCTAATTCTTCGTGCGGTGACCCTTTATCACCAATTGGTACGAAAAGCACCCCGTAATTGGTTATTATCTGCTTTGTGCTTTCATTTGGCCACAACTTATTTGACCTCGAAATCCATCCTGATGCGGACTTGACCCAAAATTTACTATGAAGGCAATGAGCAAGGTCAGTAAGACCATCGGTGTCGGATACGCACGGTCCATGTTCAACAGGACTAGCCTCGTTTAAATATCGCTTTTTGAATAAAGCATTTGACAAATAATTGTCCATTCTGTATGTTTCACAACTGTCTACCATTTGGTGAGATGGACTACTTATGAGACATAACATTGCAAAACCTGGTTTTGTATCTTCTGTCTTCAGTGAAAAATACGTTTTTTTAGGATTGAAAAAATGAGATATTATTTTTTCATTGACTTCGATACGTTTTAATACAAACATAATATCTATATCACTACCACGCATCTCCAGTCCTTCACCAAAACTACCACTGGTAATATACACTCTGTTGTCTTCACTGGATAAATGATCGCAAACTGTATTCATTAATCGAATTGTTTTTACGTGATTTTCTGTTCCGACTATGTTTTTGCACAAATAATGGTAAAGGGATATTGACAGATCTGGAACACATAATTTCACATTATACAATGTGTCTATTAAATGCATTTTAATGTGAAACATGGAACATGCAGAAAATGCAACCTAAAACGTATGCCTTGTCTGATTACAAATTATGTATATTAATACATCAAGATCATAATGCTAGGTTCTAGTTCTTATAAATGGACATTTTAAGAATACATCCTGTAACTAATAAGATATGACTGTAAAATTAACGAGTCAGGACTATCATAACAACATACCACTTGACATTTATTGTATTATGTGAACTCCAACACTGGTCTATATTCCAAATTATTGCCATGTCAGTCCTAGACTATCGTTTCTTTTACAGGATAAACTTTCCCCTTTAGCTCCCTGTGCTTACTTTCTGAGACTCAATGGTCACACTATATAAATAACCCTGTAGTTTGTTAAATGAATTTGGATATTATTTGAAGATTCAATTAAATCTAAATACAGGACGTAGAGGAATTAGTTATTTACACAAATTATTCAATAATATAAAAAAACAAAAATAACATTGCCAGCATACATCTATGAAATAACAATTCAACAGTGAACACAACCAAAATTGAAAAAAAAGGAATACATCGATAATAAATAATAACTAAACGGTATTTTGAGTTATCATTGATATGTTCATAATTATAAATTAACTGTTAACAAAACTTTGAATTTTTGAAATACTAAGAATTTTCTACCCCAGGAAAAGATAACCTAAGCTGTATTTGGCAAAACGTTTAGGAATTTTTGGTCCTCAATGCTCTTCAACTTCGTACTTTATTTGGCCTTTTTAACATTGTTTTTATTTGAGCGTCACTGATGAGTCTTTTGTAGACGAAAAGCGCGTTTGGAGCAAATATAAAAATTCAATCCTGGTATCTATGACGAATTTTTTAATATATCTTCATGTATGCTGCCGAAACCATGTAAAAACTGTTGATTAACGCGACATTGTTCATTTCTGATTATATAAGAAACACATAAGTGTTAGTACATCAATAAGCACACATTTTAATTTCAGGTTTAACTTCCCCACAAATAAGTCTAAATTTTGCAAATTAACTCACAGTAATCGTCTTTTAATCTTGTATCCGTTGTGTTAATAAAATTGAGAATGGAAATGGAGAATGTGTCAAAGAGACAACAACCCGACCAAAGAACAGAAAACAGCCGAAGGCCACCCATAGGTCTTCAACACATCGAGAAAATCCAGCACCTGGAGGCGTGCTTCAGTTGGCCCCTAAACAAAAATGTGTACTAAGTAAACTAACAAAAATACCGAACTCCAAGGAATATTCAATACGGAAAGTCCTTTATCAAATGGCAAAATCATGAACTCAAAAACATCAAATGAACCGAAAACAACTGTCGTATTCCTGACATTGTAGAGGCAATTCCTTATGTAGAAAATGGTGGATTAAACCTGGTTTTATAGCTAGCTAAACCTCTCACTTGTATGACAGTCGCATATAGTTCCATCATATTTATAACAATGTGTGAACAAAACAAACAGACACAATAGGAAAAAAATGTTTTTGTATTTAGGCAATTTAAAGAAAGAGTCCATAAATTTTTAGGGTGTCCTTGTGTAGTTAGGTTTTCCATTCTATGCTTTGAAAGGTTACTAAATGGCACAGACAAGAACACATAAAATAGTTAAAACAAAGTTATTTCACGAATATAACCATAAGGCGAAATCATATTGTTTTATACAATTCAAGTTTTAATATACATATATATGTATATTGAATTACATTATAATATACCAAATATTAGAATTATTCAATCTAATAAAGATAACTGTTTTAATCTTACCTGCCATTCTGTTTCACAAATATTTACCTAAGTATTTATTAAACATTCATATGCTGTGCACAGTTTGTTCTCTTATATAGAATAACTTTGAAAACAATAGTTGATCTCGGTGTAAAGTTAAAAAATGATATTGAATTCAAATATACGCCTCACATTGACATTGTTTTTTGTTAACTTGAAATGTGATAGCAGATAATGATATGTTTATGATAAACAAACATTTGGTGTATATTTCCTCCTTAATATTAGCTGAAGGTATTATATGTCCATGACGTTTATTTTTTTTTTTGGTTGGAATTTTTCAAATAATTTCCCTTATATTCAATTATATATTTTTAGCTATTTTTTAAAACAAACAAATTATGCATTGTCCTTATCATGCTTATTATTGTTACAACAAGGAATATGAATATATGAAAATTGGTCAAGCTTTTCCTTATAGATATAAATATATTTTTTAATATAATAACTTGACTAGTAGTATGTTATTTATAGTTTCAACACTGGTTGTCACGGTCTAAGTGCAGTTTCATGAGCTAAGTGCACTTAGGTGGTTTTGGTGCTTAGGCGCACCCCTTTTTGAAGTAAATTATACTGTTTGAAAATATTTCAAAGATAGGAAAATAGACACTTGTCCAAGTTTCGAAAAATAACTCGCATGACACTAACTAAAAAATGCCCTGAAGTACATATCTAGTTTGAGAGGTAAGTATCGAAAGATAACGAAATGAATCATCTGACATAAAACATACTTTTATTTGACGTTGAGCTTTGCTGGTGAAGGTAAATCCAGAAAAGTGCTTTGGACGCATGGAATTTATAAAGTGTTGAAATAATTTTTTGTGTGGTTTTTTTTTTTTTTTGTAATTACGTCTTTTCAAAGACTTAAACAATTACCATATACATTTTTTTTTTCAGGATAAGGGCAACAATTTTTTCCTACAGAGTTAACGCCATTTTGTATTTAAGTGCATAACAAACAACGATTGCATAGGAATCCGATTCTTCCAATCCACACACTACCCGTTTATTGTAAATCTGCTATAATGGGCACAAGACGTTTACGTTTTTTTACTACAAAAGGACGTTTGCACTCCAAAAATCTATGGACAGCTGCGCTTTCAACTTTGATACACATATACGAAATTGACGGGACATTTGCGCTTTGACAAATGTATGAGTTATTGTGTTATGTTTTAGAACTGTATAAAAAGAACAGAATTTACGGTAACTTGTACAACCCAAAGTAAATACACATGTATATTATATTCATTGTAAAACACAGACGTCAGAAATATTTATGAAATTAACAAATTTTGCAATATACAATTAATAAGTACATCAATAAATAAATAATTTAACATTCATTAGAAAGTTAAAACCGGAAACACTTACATACGAATTATCAATTGATACCTCAACAAAACAAATCAACAACACTTTATAATAAATTAACTCCTAATGTCTTTTGAGAAAAAAAAACAACAAAAATCAACAGATGATTTTATTTTCAATTATTCAAAAGTTACGTGTTTGATTCTAATAAATGTATAGATTTTTTGCATTTAAAACGTATCATCAACCGGATGATACGTAACTCCTAGTGTCATACTGGCCCGCTGAACGGACTTAATCCCGATCTGAAAAAAATGAACGTTATTTTTTATGTTTGGTCTTTAAACGTGGCACCGAATACATGATACGTTTCCCTTTATAACAGTTCGAAACAAAAGCAAGTTGGTATATATTATTTCCTCCTTAATATTAACTGAAGGTAACATTTGTCAGGGACGTTTTGTTCTCCGTTTTTGTTAAAAGATTGGGTTTTGACAAAATATATACCTTTACATTCTATTATATATTTAAAACAAGAACATTTACATTCTGCAAAAACAAACTACAAATGGTTACGATAGAAGAGCAATACACAAACATGTGGAGAAAAATCAATTGTAGTAATGGCTCAACTTTGACTATTTTTTATTTTATGTCCAATTTGTATATGGCATGTTTATGCTGCATATAATGCAAATGCTGGGTCATTTTCATGTAGATTAATATATTTTATTTTGCTTTTGTTGCTATAACCTTTAGGTGATGTCATAACTATTCCAGTTTAAAAAAGGCACACTTTTGTTCCCGTACCCTTGAAAAAATGAGTCATTACATCTTGTTTTGCCAATGAAACAACTCAAAGATAGAGTTCTATCCATACGTTTCGGCAATTTTAAAAGATGTTTTATTATAACGTTGGTACATTTATGATGTGAGAAAATTTTTGAGAAAGATTATATTCAAGGTACAGATTACACATATTAACAGAGACTATTGCAACCTTATTTAGAGCAGCTAAATTGCTTTAACGTCAAAAAAGGTTTTGCTTGAATGGTTTTGAAAAACTGACAAAATCATACGAAATGAATATGAAACGACAACATATCAGTGCACATGTATATATAACTTGATATAATTTATTTAGCAGCTTGATTTATTAATTTAGCTGACATGGTTTGCATTCATTCCACATCAGGTGAAGTACTCAATTGATTTGTTTCAAGCTTATAAAAGATCAGCTTGTGTATGAACATCTTCCATAAATATGAACAAATGAATAACACGTCAGTTACTCTGAAGTCAGCTTTTAGCCCACTTTCAATAAAAATCTTGATAATAAATGGTTTTCTTTTTTTCTGTGTATTTTATGTTTACTTAAATATTGTGAATACAGAAAGATGAATAATTTAAAACCAAGACACAACAAAAATGCTGAAAGAAATATTATGTCATATGTGCGACAGTAAGGCGAACACGTTTCGGACGATTTCCGTTAATTATAATAGTTCAGTAACAACACATTATATTGAAATAAAAATGAGGCGGATTACACCGAAAGGACATGCACAACTCAAATCGAGGAAAAGCGGACGATTTCATGACAACAAAAAAACGACGGAGACAAGACAAACACATGCACAAAATGCTACATAGAAAGGTTAACGCAACATTTACGTGATAAGTTATCAAAAATAAACAAGACAGACTGGATTAATCTAGGCTTTTACATAGCAATCCTTTATTGCGCAGATTTTTTTACTGTTATAAAGTATAATTTGCTAACTAGTTTGTATTTGTATTGCCTTTTCTTCCCGTTGACATACAATATTATTCACTGTATATACGTTTGAATTGAAAAAAAAAAGGTTTATATTTCCTTTAAAATACATGTATCACTTAAATAAAGAGAAATCAAATATCCTTTTGTATTTTGCACTAAATTAGTTAGGAACGATATCATTTAACAAAGCTTATGTCTATATCAGGGTACATTTTCCTTAAGTAAGTTTTATATTTTTCTGTCATTATTTGGATATTTGAATATTGGATTTTAACTGCCCTTACACTCAATTGTATATGTGTACGTAAATGAAAAATAAAAATACGTAGTCCTGGCTATTATTCAAAAGAGAAATATGAAATTTGGTGAAATGCTGACAATCTTTTGATTCAATTGATACATTCTTGGATAAAATGACTTTGAGTGTTAAAAAAAATATTGTGCATTGCAGAAATTCAACTTTGCAACTTGTTATCTTTACATGTATACGTTTCGGTAAGGATTTTGTTTTTTTTTTCGCGTGCATCAGTTCGTTTTACTTCGAGTGCACATCAAGTTTGTTTCGAGATAATTTGCATGCGATTAAACCGAATAACTCTAATTTCGCAAGTATTGAGTTTAATTGATGTTTGTCCAACTTTGTTTTGTATTAATATACAAGAGTTTAGAACAAACGATGTAGAATTTGCTTCCATGTTTCATAAAATTAAGTCCGTTATATCATCTGGCTTTTTAAAACACTTCATCTGCGTATTGTGTACAACAGAACATACAAACAGTTTTTAAACACGAGAAATAAAACCTGTTTTTGTTAATAAAATTATGAAAGTTTCGATGTAGTGTTTTTACAAAGTATAGCAAAAATACAGAACTCTGAGGTAAATTCAGAAAGAAGTAGTCCATACAAACTGACAAAATCCAACTTCATCAACCAACGGAACGTGTGAAAAAACAATTGTAATATGCCTGGCTTGGTACAGGCGATTTTTAGAGAAATGATGGGTTAAACCAGGTTGTATACCTTGATAAACTTCGAACTTGTATGACAGTTGTTTATAGTTCCGCGATATCGAAAACAAGTAGGTGAGAAACTCAAGCAGTCATAAAATGATAATGTGACAATAATTGGGTGCCAACTGCCAAAATTGTGTTAATATACAACGCAATTGTCTAAAAATTTCAAACAAACATACAAATAACTTAGACGCCAACAAAGAAGTAGTTATATTGTATAGTAAACTTAACAAAGATACCAACAAAAATGTTTTTGTAGTTGCTCGGAAATTGTTAAAGACGCTGAAAAAAACGTGTGTAGTTAATAGAACATACAGTATACAAATTAAGAAAATATAAATACAAAAGTCAACAATGTGGAAACAACACCGTAAAAGCCGAATCGCACTTCAGGAAAATGAAATAGTTTGAACGATATTAGGAAACAAAACATTGTAAAAATGTACTTCTTTTTCAAAACATTTTAAACTTGTTTGTTTCTCGAAATTCCCCAAAATTCATTAAAAAGAGGCCATTTTACGACAATAGTACAGCTACTGTAGTATTCTAATCTTTTTTCAAAGAGATAAAAAACTTATGGAAATGTGTTAATTTGTAAATAATGTCAAATTCTCACACAAATATATTTTAAGAAATCAAAATGAAACTGGAGTGAGAGAACAATACAGCCCTAAAACCTTTTACAAATATATGTACACGTAGTTATGATTCATATTCTAATCAATTGTCCATTTTATTTGTAATATCGTATTTGATGGAAGAGCTCTATGTACGTATTTGTACATTTGTGTTATAAGGGTCATCAGTTCTGTGCTTAGAAGGAACATACATAGCATAAACAATAATTACTTCAAGCAAACTTATTTCATTTATAAGACCATAACGCAAACACCTTGTTTTGTTATATACGATAAAAGTACATTAAAATAATGTGTAAATTCAGAAAATTTGCTTTCTTTTTTTTATAGTTGCGAGTGTTAAATTAAAAAAGAGAGGATTATATGAAATGCTGCATACATTTAATGCTATTAAAC